AATTCATCCTTCCAAGCACTTGGTGTGAATCTCTGTATGGATCATCTGTGTTTCCTTCCAGCCCCTTTCTCTCCCCCATGTAATGGAAATCAGGCTTCCTGAAATAGTGGAAGCTGCAAAATACTGGTACAGGAAGAAATTAGGCAGTCATTCACCAAATTCTGTTCACTCTGTCTCAGGAATGTTTCTCTGACTTTTTTTTTTTAATTCTATTGGGGAACAGTGTGTTTGTCCAGGACCCATTAGCTCCAAGTCAAGTAGTTGTTTCAATCTAGTTGTGGAGGACGCAGCTCAGTGGCCCACGCGGAGACCGAACCAGCAACTTTGGTGTTATGAACACTGAGCTCTAACCAACTGAGCTAATCGGCTGCCCCTCTCTGACTTCTTAAGTGATCCCCTTGTCATCCCTATCCTCATCCATACCATTATCAGAGTTTTCTTTCTAAAACATAGAACTTAATATGTCATTTCTTTCCTTGTAAATTTTCACTGGCTCTCCATTGCATATAGGTAAAGCCAGGCCTCTTAGCTTGGAATTCAAAAAACCCCACAATCGGATCCCAACATACCTCATCTCCCAAGACATTTTTACTTCCCCTTTCCCTCCTGACCCCATTAATTTACCTGCCTTTTTTTTTCTTTTTAACATTCTCTTGGGCTGGCCAAGTGGCTCAGCTGGTTTAGAGCTCGCTCAACAGTTTGAGCTCTGAGCAACTAGCGGTTAGATTCCCACCTTGAGCTGAGCTGCCAGCAGGTGGCAGGATGGCTCAGCTTAAAAAAAAAAACCAAAACACTTTAACATTCTCTTAAGGTATTCCTGTATCCAAAATACTCTTTTTTTTTTTTTTCATTTTGGTAAGTTGATGGTTTATGCTTCCTTCATGGCCCAGGAAAAATTCTTATTCCTACAAGAAGTTTTCTCTGAGTCTCCCAGTCAGAACTTATCTCCTCCTCCCTGTATTCCCGCAGTCCTTTCAATTTTATAATAGCACTTATCATAGGCTGGCCTGTATTATAGTTTATTTTTTTTATTTTTTTTAAAGCTTTTTATTGGGTAATTGGGGGGATGGGAACAGTACTGGGGAATTAGGGGAAGGGGAACAGACAAGTTGCTGTCGTTTTGTTCTTAAGTCTAGTTGTGGAGGACACTGCTTCACTGGCCCAAGTTGGCACCATCATTGCGCTCTTCCCGGGCGAGGCAGATCAGTCGCCGGCTTCTGGACTGCCGCTCACTNCAGAGGGATTACTCATTATGAATTTGTACCAACTGGACAAACAGTTAACCAAGTTTACTATTTGGAAGTGCTGAAAAGGCTGCATGAAAAAGTTAGACGAAAACGACCTGCACTTTTGGCCAACAATTCATGGCTCTTTCATGACAACAATGCACCAGCTCACACAGCACTGTTTGTGAGGGAGTTTTTAGCCAGTAAATAAATAACTGTATTGGAACACCCTCCCTACTCACCTGATCTGACCCCCAGTGACTTCTTTCTTTATTCAAAGATAAAGGAAATATTAAAAGGAAGATGTTTTGATGACATTCAAGACATCAAGGGTAATACGAAGACAGCTCTGATGGCCATTCCAGAAAAAGAATTCCAAAATGGCTTTGAAGGGTGGACTAGGTGCTGGCATCGGTGCATAGCTTCCCAAGGGGAGTACTTCAAAGGTGACCATAGTGATATTCAGCAATGAGGTATGTAGCACTTTTCCTAGGATGAGCACGCAAACTTAATTGTCAGACTTATACACTCAGGAAATGCCACAACTGCTCAAGCCCACCCATGCCTATATGTTTTACCAGAAGCACCTGTATGTTTTGCCAGTGAACAGAGAAGCATTGGGAATGACAGTGCAGCAGCACAAGACTGGAGTCAAAGCAAAGTCATCACTGACTTCCAAACCAGAGGCCAAGAACAGGAATTGTGGATTCCAGTTAGTGGTATGCTGGTAATCCTTTAAAACGCTCCTTCCTCAACTACCCCCTCCCCCCAAAAAAAAGCCCTAATTTGTATTGTTTGCCAATTTCCATGGTTTAAATACTCTCACCAGTCATTTTCAAACGCCAACATGAAATCATTGCATGTGCAGTTGCTGACAGCACGCCATTATATAGCATAATATTTCCACCATAAAGATATGATAGGTATGAATAACTTTATAGATACTAGTAAAACATGGTAAAATAATTAGAAAGTGATGAATTTTTAATATTATTATATTTTAATGTAATTTATGTAACTGAAAATGCATATTTAGTTGTAAGTTTAAATTTAATTGCAAGTTTAACAAAGAGCTTACAAAATTTCTGAAAATTTAACAGTAAGCTATCGTAAGCCAGTAAGAATGAACCACAGCACACAACTGATCCCAAACAAGTATCTGGGGGAAACAAGTCACCCCACAATTTTAGATGGGACCATCCTCATCTGCATGATTTAAGTTGTCTACCAGACCTGCCACACCCCCAAAAAAAAGAGTTCAAGTACCCAAAGAATACTCCAACTGTTTGAAAACTTCCTTTCTCCACTGCCATGGAAACAAAGGAGTCATTCAAGACTTTAAAGTGAAGATGACTAAATTTTACTCAATTCGCCTAAATTGAGGGTGGGTGGGGTTTTTTTCTATCAACATCAAGAGTGTTAGAAACATGTAAGGAAGATTAGCTCAATTATTGAAAATTAAGTACATTTTCAATGCATTTCTGGGGATAATGTGGGTAAATGTGTGATCCCGCAACACTTCAAAGGAAGGAATCACAGAAATTAGAGCATGCAAACAGATTGTGCTGTTCTTCACAGCTCATTTCCTCAATGTGTAGAAATGCTTGCCGTCAAAACAAAAAATAATGAGGATAGGGGGAATATAGTTCTCATGGGGGAAACGTTTCAGGGTAGAACTCCCAAGAGGTAAATAGTTTTCTACAAATCTCTTGGCAATTTTTTTCTTTTAAAAAAAAGAAACTCAATAAAAGGAGATCTAGCTGATACTATAAGTGATGTAGAATTCAAGACACTTCAGTAGAGAAGTCACAATCTATAAAAAACCTCCAAGGCAGGCGGTCTCATAAATTATTACAATAGTCAATGTGTCGACTCCTGAAAGATTTTAATTGGATTCCAAAGCAGAGATCCAGTCACCCATCACCACAAGCCCAGGAGATGCTCTGAAGTATGCCTTCTCCACCTGTTGGGCTGTTCTACCTGAGAAAGACCAGCCTCCTCCAAGATTTTGCTGTTGTGTCCATGTGAGTCCAAGAAGGGAAGCATTCCTAAAGTCAGGTCAACTTACAATAGAAGCAAAGACTTAATTTCCAGACTTTAAAAGTTTCAGTAACCTTGTCAAAAATTGTATTTAGTCTGTCTCTTTCCTCCATCTACTTCTTTACCTCATCCTCTATTCACAGAGTTAATACTTTATGCATATTAATGTTTAATTAAATCAGTCTTTCTCAAGATTTAGGAACTTTCTTCTTTGACTTGAATTTTAAACATTTATCTTTTCTTTTCTCTATTTTGGGGGAGGTAAGGTCAGGTCAATTCACAATAGGAACAAAGACTTAATTTTCAGACTTTAAAAGTTTCATATGAATAATAAACATAAATGATGTCTCAAATTCAGTATTACTGAGCAAACTCAGAGATGGGGTCCTTAACCCCTCTTTTCCCAGTGATAAGCACACTTAGTCAACTTACTTGAGGGTTAAATAATAACAAAGGTTAGATATGTTTGAAATTGATGTTTATATAAGGGTACTTTTAGTGGTATTTCAATAGTTAGATCTTTTGAGGTTAATATCTCTGCATAATTAACCTCTTATTGAAGTTTAATTTAAATATAGCTTAATTTTTTGTTGTTGCTTAAGAATTATAAGATGTTTTGGTTTAAGCAACAAGTAAAAATACCTAAAACACTATTATGAGGAAAAATTCTTTTAGAAAAAAACATTCATGCAACGGAGTTTCTAAATAACATCTGACTCAGCTCTGTAATATCGTTAAAGGATTTTTTAAAAACTCATTTGTTGGGAGGCAAATAGATTTTAAAATAACAACATACTAAAGGTCAAATCCTATAACAATCAATGCTATTACAATCCAAATCATCAAAACCACTAAACTACTTAGGTCAATCAATAAATGTAAATAACATTCTAGAACAAACAGAAAGCGTGGGTAATGTCTTGGACTTTGTTTACACTGGGAATAGGCTCACATTGCTGAAGTGGATGTGACATAAAGCATGAGAAACGTGATTACACAGGCTAACAGGATGCAGGATTAATGTGAACTGGCAACATCCAGTCAGTCAGCCAATCAGCCAAATATTTATTAATTATTGCTATTGCTAAGCACTAGGGCAGGTGCTGTAGAAATATAAAATGAACAAAATAGACTAGGTCTTTGTTTTGAAGGAGCTTTTAACCCAGTAGAAGAAACGAATGAGCACTTAAGCAAATAGCTCTTATCACACACTGTACTGCAATTGCCTTTTACAATATAAACTCTTATCTCCCAGATGATTGTTTTCTAAGGGAGAACTCTTCCCAAAAGAGGTGACAGCCAAAGTGAATCCTGAGGAATGAGGCTATGTTAAGGTGAATCAGTACACTCCAGGAAGAGTAGGTCCAGAAAGAAGGATGGTATGGTACTCCTAAGTGATCCACTTCTTTGTGGTCCCCCTTTGGGGCATAGACCTATCATTTGAACTAACATTATTATTCAGGAACACCATGTACCTTGGCTTCCAGCACTTACTTGTAGTGTCTCCCATTAAAGAAGAATTTCAGGGCACCTAGAAAGTAAGCAGCCTCTGAGGACTTGTCTTGCCAAGCAAACCTAGATGATTGATGGCAAATGCTTTCTACTTAAAACATAGAAATCCCCTATTTACCTTCTAGACTCTAGTCAGCAGGAAAAAGCATTCTTTCACCACCTCCCTGTGTTGTATTTCCCTTGTCTGACTTCACCATTCATCTTAGCAGACTACAGAGAGACATGGGAAAGACCAAAAACACATCCCTGGAAACCGTGGTGACAGATTTCATTCTCCTGGGCTTATCTCATCCCCCAAATCTGAGGATCCTTCTCTTCCTGGTCTTCTTCATCATTTACATCCTGACTCAGCTGGGGAACCTGCTCATTCTGTTCACTGTGTGGGCTGACCCAAAGCTCCATGCTCGCCCCATGTACATTCTTCTGGGCGTGCTCTCATTCCTGGACATGTGGATCTCCTCAGTCATTGTTCCTCGCTTTATTCTAAATTTCACTCCAGCCAGTAAGGCAATCCCATTTGGTGGCTGTGTGGCTCAGCTATATGCCTTTCACTTCCTGGGCAGCACCCAGTGCTTCCTCTACACCTTGATGGCCTATGACAGGTACCTGGCAATATGCCAGCCCCTGCGCTACCCGGTGCTCATGAATAGGAAACTATGCACCATTCTTGTGGCTGGAACTTGGGTGGCCGGCTCCATCCATGGGTCTATCCAAGCCATCCTGACCTTCCGCCTGCCTTACTGTGGGCCCAACCAGGTGGATTACTTTTTCTGTGACATCCCTGCAGTATTGAAACTGGCCTGC